TATATATATATATATATATATATACATATATATATATATACATATATATATAATTATTTTATAAATTCAAATGTTTACGTCAAACATAATTTAATGTGTATAACAATAATATTTAAAAATATTAATTATTTTGACTAACTCTAATTTGGAATATATTTATGATTTATAGGCGACGTTTGTTTTACAATTCCGTTGCTGCGCATCATATTGGTGAGTCTAATTGTTGCTAATTTGATCTAAGGTAGTGAATCTACGAAGATCATATTAGGCAAATTGGAAAAATATATGTATAAATGAAACGCCTCGTAGATTCATTATCTAGAAATAGATGGACTATAGGTTAAAATAAAAAATAATATTTTTCTTAGAAGTTTCTTGACAATTGTTCATTGATTTATTATGCTTATAACATGAATTATAGTGCTTATAATTATTGATTGAACTTATTTTAATTCTAATCTTTATAGTCTATCCATTGATATTTATAGATTATTGATTGTTTTTATGTTTATTTGAAATACATTTAAATAAAACGTGAAAGACGATAAATTTCGTCGTGATGTAAAAGAATTCATTATTAAAACTTTCATTTCAATTAGTTCGCTTAATTCGCAATTGCTATTTCACTTACTTTATAAAATGCAAATGCAAATTGTTTGCAGCAAATATAATCGAATCGTGAGCTCTACATTGACCGCATTGTAATCACGTTTTGCATGCAATACGAATATAACTAAACAATTCCTATTAATGAAATCATGCAAACAACGATGATAGACTAACCACAAATTATCTCGTAATTGTATTTAAATAGGCATCTTATCGCGATATCGACTAGGCCAATAAATTCATGTTGATGCGCTTTTGAAAATCTATCGCATTTTTCACTCAATTGGTACAAATTTTTCTACTTTGTTTTATATTATTGCTCGTGTAGCGACTCTAATCGTTTCTGAGAAAAATAATGTTTCTAATAAATTATGGACATATTATTTATAATTTATTGTGCCTGTAAAGTGTGACTGGTTGAAATCAAAACTAAAAAAATAATAAAATTTTTAAACAAAATATTAGTTAAAAAAATTTCAATATTTTATACTTGCGAATACAAAAACATATTGCTATACTATTGCGAAAATTACCTATTTTTCGAAGATTTATTAATATTAATTATATTGCATCTAAAATATGAATTTTTTTATAATAAAAAATTATTTATTATTATGCGAAATTATTACGTGAAAAAATAAAGAATATCTATTATAAATTAGTTTTAATAAAATATATTTAATTTTTAAAAAATTTATATATTCCTCGTACAAAAGCTACACATATCGCTATATTTTAAGTTCTTTTAAATTAAAAAATTTTAATATTCAGCTTGTGTCAAACATCTGTGTTGTATTTGTTCTTATCACATTTCTTGGGTTATCGTACCTTTTATTAAACTTTTTTTATCATCAGTCACTTTATTGAAGTATATATTATTTGAAAAGTATTTCGAATATACGTAATATAATACACGAGTTAAGAATTTTCTCTTTAAAAATAAAAGAAGAAATAGGAAAATTTCATGAAAAATTTCTGAAAAATATTACTGTCTTATTGCTGGTTTAACTCAAGTCTCACATAATTGGTTGTGTTCCGCGCATATTTTTCTTTGAAATACTAGGAACATTTAAATAATAGGTCTCTATCCTTTTTTTTTAATACACAACTTTGCAAATATTTTTTAGAAATATTAAAGTATATGTAATTAATAATTTTGGTATTTATATTTGCAAAAATTATAAAAATTAATCCGAGACACGAACTTTATAGAATTTTAACTTCATATAGACCTTACAGAAATCTAATAGTAATCAAATTAATATTAACCCATTTATTACTAAAAAAACAATAATTAATTACTTATTTAGCATATTAAAAGTACTAATAGTACCAATAGTACTAATAGTAACAGTAATAATTTTTAAATTTAAAATAAGAGAGAGAGAGAGAGAGTAATTAATTACTGTCTTTCTCAGTATTGGCTATCATTAGATGTCGTAAGGAGATCATCGTGTTAATTTGTTTTTAAAATTTTGTTATCTAAAAATTTCGTCATTTTTCTCAATTGAAATAATTTTTACTTGTTAAATATTTATTTCTACTATGTAAGGCTCTCGGAAACAGTTTACTGTTATCTGAGTGTCAAGAGATTCTTCTCGAGGATCCGATTATACCGATACTTGAACGCGATCAGTTGCAGGAGAGAGATTACGAAATCGCTGGAAGGTAGTTAACATTACGCTGTAGGCACGCTGGTGCAATCCGATCTTGACAATAAACGGGAATTTCTGACCAATTAGAATGCGGTATGCTGCTGATGATCGGATAACACCGCGTCTACCTGTCAGAATTTCGAGACTGCATTCTGTTCCGCGGTCACTATGCCGAGGTTTAGGGAACATCAGAAACCAAATATAGGAACACAACAATTATTGGAGACTGGCATTGGTTATATATACAATAACGTTATCAAACTCGCGGTAAAGTTAAGAAGTACGATATAATTATATGTACTACTATATGTATATGAATATTCGACTAATTAACTTGTTAGTTTAATAAAATAATTTCATGACTTGATTTAAATAATATAGAATAGAAATCTGAGTAGCTTCGCACTTT